GAAAAGAAAGAAGAGGGGGGGGGAGAAGATGGGGTAAGGGCCATTATTGAGGGAAAAGAGGGGTGGAAATCTATCTCTGGTCTTTGCACTCTCAACATTAAGATCGCTAAATGTGATAAGCCTAAAATCCGGTTTGGGAAGGAAGATAGAAGAAGAAAGAGGAGAAAAAGAGAGAGTATAAAATTATGTGTGAGTGTATACATATTACAGTATATATGTGTATGTATGTGTGGATACACGAACACGTCTATAAATATATATATATATATATATATATATATATATATATATATATATATATATATATATATATATATATATATATATATATATATATATATATATATATATATATATATATATATATATATATATATATATATATATATATATATATATATATATATATATATATATATATATATATATATATATATATATATATATATATATATATATATATATATATATATATATATATATAATAATAACATATATATACATATGTATATATATACATATATATATATATATATATATATATATATATATATATATATATATATATATATACATATATTTCTATTTATTCATTTTTCATTTTCTGCCTTTTTTTGATTGGACACAGTATAGCGAAGCATTCAAGTTTTGACTGCATGACTCCATGCAACCTCGCCTGCATGCATTGTCTTCCTTTTAGAAATGCCTATCTATGACCCGACTTTCAACCCTTGCGAACAAACCCTCAACAGAAAAATCATGCACATTCATGCACCTCTAACAATGAAATACCAATATGACTCTCAATATTCACAAAATAGCTCGCGGAATCTTGTTTGCAACATATAATTTCAACACGAAATCGCACTGCAGACTAACGGATTTTTACATATAGGATGACCCAGATGTTATTATCATTTTTTTCCAAATAATGTTTTATAAATGAAAAAACAGGGGTAAGCAACGTCAATTTATATCAAATATTCTTTCTTCATATCTTCTTTTTTTTCCTTTTTTCCTGTTGATAATTAACTTCAAAGATGATGATAATAACAATAATGATTAGGATAATGGCGAATATGATGATAATTACGATAACAGTAAATTTAATGACAATAATATTAATGAACTAATAATGGTAGACAAACCCACAATGCACAAACGAGATTTATTGAAACAATACTAATAGTTATATGATAATATTAGTATTAGTAGTAGTAATAAAATAATAATAATGAGAATTACAATGATAATGATGACAGTCATAAACATACTAACAATAATAATAATGATAACAGTAATAATGATAATAACACAATAATGATAATAATGATAATAATAATAATAATAATAACAACAATAATAATAATAATAATAATAATAACAATAATAATAATAATAATAATAATAATAATAATAATAATAATAATAATAATAATAATAAAGATATTAATCAATATTATTACTTTTATTATTTTTATCATTTTCATCATTATTATGATCATTTAACAATAACAATAATGATATTAGAACTAGTACTTTTGCCATTAGTATAATGTTGATTATTATAACAACAACAACAGTAAAATAGCATAACTAACGTAGTTATACTAATATCAACGGTAATGATGATAATGATAATAACAGTAATGATAATAATAAAATTAACAATAATAGTAGTGGCAATTAAATTAATAATAATAATAAAAATAATAAGAATAAAAATAAAAATAAGAATTATTATTATTATTATAGCTATTATTAGTTATTATTGTTTTCATTATTACTATTACTATCTTTACTATTATTGTTATTATCATTATTGCTATTATTATTATTGTTACCATCACCATCATCATCATCATCATCATCATCATCATCATCATCATCATCATCATCATCATCATCATCACCATCATCATCATCATCATCATCATCATCATCATCATCATCATCATCACCATCATCATCATCATCATCATCATCATCATCATCATCATCACCATCATCATCATCATCATCATCATCATCATCATCATCATCATCATCATCATCATCATCATCATCATCATCATCATCATCATCATCATCATCATCATCATCATCATCATCATCATCATTATCATCAACATCATCATCATCATCATCATCATCATCAATATCAATAGTAGTAGTGTTAGAATCATTATCATTATGAGTCTTGTTGATAATTATTATCTTTATTGCTATTATTATTATGACTATTACTATCATTATTACTATCATTACCATTATTATCATTATCAATGCAATAATCCTTGCAATCTTTATTATGATAATTATCATTTTGTTACTATTATTATCACTTTTATTATAATTATCACTACAGGTTATGATAATAATTATCATTACTACTTTTATTATTATGATTATTGTTATCATTATTATTGTTGTTGTTATTATTATTATTATTATTATTATTATTATTATTATTATTATTATTATTATTATTATTATTATTATTATTATTATTATTATTATCAGCATTGATACCATTCTCATAATAATCATTATCTTTGTCTTTATAATCATCATTATTTTGTTACTGTATTATTATCATTATTACTGTTGTTATCATTATTATTATCATTTTAATCAAGGTTCTCACTATCATTATTTTTATCATTATTATCATCAATATTTTTATTATCATCAACATGATTATTTTTATTATCTTCGTAAAAAAAATGAAGGAACGTTAACAATCACCTAATCGTTTGTTTGTTTTTAGTTTTTTTTTTTTTTTTGCATTTCGTTCGAGGCATTTTTCAATTTTCTTTTCATGCTTTTTCTCTTTCTCTCTTTCTCTTTCTCGTTTTTTTTCTTTCTTTTTTTTTCTTTTCCGTTCTCTTTGTCTCTTTCTCACATTTTTTTCCCTTCATCTGTTGGTTTCTGTTTGTTTCTCTTCTCGGTTTTTTGTTTGTTTCCCTTCCTGTGTCTCTGTATTTCTCTATCTCTGTCTGCCTGTCTGCCTGTTTGTTTGTCTCTTTCTTTCTAAATCTCTCTCTCTCTCTCTCACTCTCTCTCTCTCTCTCTCTCTCTCTCTCTCTCTCTCTCTCTCTCTCTCTCTCATTCTCTTACTCTTTCTCTCTCTATCTCTATTTCTCTCTCTCTCTCCCTATCTATCTATCTATCTATCTGTCTGTCTATCAATCTATCTATACACACACACAGAGTAATTTTGCATAGTAATCGCTGCAGTACGCTGCAGAAGTCGCTTTCTTTGCCAGTGAATTCAAGACAGAGTATATGACCACTGACGAAGATAAGTGATTAAAAATTATAAAAAATAATCTACCTCTTCATCTCTCCATCTATGACAAACCAATCAGACAAGACAGTGGATTTGTATACCTTATGCTTAAATTATCTACTGCAAAGGAAGGATCTATGGCAATTAAATACAGGCTAAGTTTAGCCTCTGGAAAGAATGAACAATTCCTTACCTCTAAACATGTGTCACTATCTATTAAAGAATAAAAAATAGAGTACATATATGTTATTTAGTGATTCATATGAACTTTGAAAAACAATCGAAACGTTTCAAAATCAAGTTGTGAGATTTATGACAAACCACAAACTCTTCATAACTTAACTGCACCTAATCCAATAATAGCATTTAATAATTAATAACAATTCTTAAAGTTATCAATAAAATCAATTAGCAATTAATAACAGCAATTTTATAAAAATAAAACAAAAATCAATAACAGCAGTTAATAAATACCGAGATCTCTTTTTGGGACAACGATTAATGTTGGTAAGCAAGCTGTTGCAACTGGAGATAATGTTGCATGATGAACGAAATCTATAATTTTAATGTTTCTTACATTTATCTCGTGATTTATCCTCTTCCTTTTATGCTGGCTTTTGAAAGACGGCAGTAATTATGCATAACTGTTCTTGCAAGATCGCACAAGGTCCTCAACATGTACATGAAGCCACAATATACCGATGGAAAAAAGTATTTAAATATTTTCTTTAGTTTTATCATCTTCCTCTTTTCTTCTTGTTTCCTTCTCTTTTCTAACTATTTTTCCTTTTCTTTATTATATTTTTGTCTTACTTTCTTTCTTTCTTTTCTTTTTCTTTTTCTCTTACTTTTGATCCTTTTCTTGTCTTATCTCTTTCTTTCTTTCTTGTGTATTTTAGTCCTTTTTCTTTTTTTTCTCTTTTCCTTTCTTCTTCTACTGTGTCCGTCTTCTTCTTTTTCCTTTTCTTCTTCTTCTTCTTCTTCTTCTTCTTCTTTTTCCCCTTCTTCTTCGTCTTCTTCCTCTTATTGTTATTATTGTTATTAATGTTATTATTGTTATTAATATTATTTGTTATTATCATTACTTTTCTTCTTCTTCTCCTCCGTTTTTTAACACTTCGTTATTCTTTCTTTTTTTTCGTTTCATCTTCGTCTTCAATTATCTTCTCTTCTTTCGCTCTATGTCTATTATCTGAAGTTATTTATTTCCTTTTTTTCTTTTCTGTTATTATATTTCCCTTCTTCTTTGTCCCGATTTTTTTCATCCTTTTCTTTCTTCTCTCTCTTTCTCTCTTTCTCTTTCTCGTTTTTTTTTTTTTTTTATTTTTTTTTTTTTTTTTCCGGTATGTGGATGTACATGCTTTTACGTAATGCACACACACACACACATATATATATATATATATATGAAACAGAATGAAAGATTTAGAGAGTCTGAACATTAAAAGCAGCATGGTGGGTGAGGTCGAGAGCCGCTTCGTTCCCAGTGAATGCCTTTCGACTCAGATGCTTTATAAAAGTATTATAGTTAGAAAAAAGGGATACACATAGAACAATGAGTCACCATAAAAAAGAATAAACAAATTGATGCAATAAGGACAGGAAGGAGCAAGTTTGTTTTTTCAATCTGAACTGTTAAAGAACGGGCCGACTTTCCAGAAACGGTTACGTGTGCTAAAAACCTACATCGCATGTAAAAGTTACTAGCCAATCGAATGATGGCCGACTGGCCTTCCTCAGCGCGTTTCCCTCGAACGTATTTGAATATCAAGGTGTGGGAAAGATCCCCATTTGCAACTGAGCAACAGCAAGAGAGGGAAAAAAACAGAGGCTTTTCTTTTCTTCTTCTTCTTCTTCTTCTTCTTCTTTTTCCTTTCTTCTTCTACTGTGTCCGTCTTCTTCTTTTTCCTTTTCTTCTTCTTCTTCTTCTTCTTTTTCCTTTCTTCTTCTACTGTGTCCGTCTTCTTCTTTTTCCTTTTCTTCTTCTTCTCCTTCTTCGTCTTCTTTTTTCTTCTTCTTCGTTTTGTTTCCTTCCTCGTTCCTTCTTCGTTCTTTCTGATTCTTCTTCTCTCTCCCTTTTTCATTTCTCATTTTCTTTCGTTTTTTTCGCGTTTCGGGTATACATGTGTGTATGTGTTTATGTGTGTACGTCTTCATGTGTGTGCATGTGTGTACGTCTTCATGTGTGTACGTCTTCATGTGTGTGCATGTGTGTCCGTACGTATATATTTCCGAAGACCGTATGCAATGAACCATGTTTCTGAATAACTATACATATAAAACCTGGAAGATAGCGAAGGGAATAACTATCATTAACGAAGATACGTCGAAAACATAGCTGATAAGAAGGTAAAAGAAAACGGGATATGATTGTAGATAAAGAATATATGTTTATACCAGAAAAAAAAAATCACTGTTAAAATCCTTAGTGAGGGAACGGACGAGGAAATACGTGTAATCAGGCTTATAAATGACGTCACTTTTTCTTTGCCAAGCTGAGATGCAGTTTTTTTTTTCCGGTATGTGGATGTACATGCTTTTACGTAATGCACACACACACACACACACACACACACACACACACACACACACACACACACACACACACACACACACACACACACACAAACGCACGCACACACACAAACAAACACATACACACACACACACACACACACACACACACACACACACACACACACACACACACACACACACACACACACATATATATATATATATATATGAAACAGAATGAAAGATTTAGAGAGTCTGAACATTAAAAGCAGCAATGTGGGGGAGGTCGAGAGCCGCTTCGTTCCCAGTGAATGCCTTTCGACTCAGATGCTTTATACAAGTATTATAGGTAGAAAAACGGGATACACATAGAGCAATGAGTCGCCATAAAAAAGAATAAACAAATTGTTGCAATAAGGACAGGAAGGAGCAAGTTTTTTTTTCAATCTGAACTGTTAAAGAACGGGCCGACTTTCCAGAAACGGTTACGTGTGCTAAAAACCTACATCGCATGTAAAAGTTACTAGCCAATCGAATGATGGCCGACTGGCCTTCCTCAGCGCGTTTCCCTCGAACGTATTTGAATATCAAGGTGTGGGAAAGATCACCATTTGCAACTGAGCAACAGCAAGAGAGGGAAAAAAACAGAGGCTTTTCTTTTCTTCTTCTTTTTTTCTTTTTGAACCTGTTTTGACCGTCGATTCTGGTGACCTGTAAGCGTCCTCGGAGTCTGCTCGTCCCTTTGACCTACACGGATGACCTGGTTCGTGGGCAGTGCATGATTCTGGTATGGGTGTGTGGGGGGGGGGGACAGGGAGACGAGAGGAAAGTCAAAGGAGATACTCGAATAATTTGTGGGGAGCTTCGATGTTTTTTTTTTCTGTTTTGCTACCGTTTATTTTTTTTATTTATTTATTTTTTTTTCTTACCTGTTATTCTTTTTCTTTTTTTCTTTTCCTGTCGAGGCGAAGACGTAACATACCCGAATGTTTTGCTACCGTTTATTTTTATTTTTTTCTCGCTTCTTACCATAAGAGGAGCAGGAAGAAAAAAGGGTTTACGATTGCGTACGTGGCTTGTCATTTTATGCCTCTGTGGCTCTGTTATGTAGTGTTGACGTTGGCTTATTTGTTCTTGCTTTGATGCCAGTCTGTGGTGTATATATGACCTTTTTTTTTCTACCTGTTTTCTTCTTTTTTCTTTTCTTTTTTTTCCCGTCGAGGCGCATGATATCGCTGTATTTCGAATTATTATCATCATTAACCTCTCATTTATGAAATGACTATGATCTCCAGTCTGTCCAGTCATCACCATTCTCTCAAATTATGTTTACGCTTTGATAAATAAATAAATAAATAAAAAGAACATCTGTCATTTCCTCTTTTCATGGCATGCTGTCATTTTCCTCTCCAATCATGTGTATATATGCATAATTGGTAGCATTATTATCACTCGCGCATGTATATTGTACATAAACACAAACACACACACACGTACACACACACACACACACACACACACACACACACACACACACACACACACACACACACACACACAAACACACACACCCACACACACACACGCAGACACACACACACACACACACAAACACCAAAAGAATCCCACCGCCTAAGATAACCATCTCACCTTCCCTCGACATCTTCCTGTTGACTTCCTCCACCGCCCTCCTTATCTGCTCCTGAGACGTGACATCCAACTGCAGGACGTGAAGCCTCTCGGTGCCTTCCCTGCGTAGTCTGCGGGAGCCTTCGCCGCCCCCCGTCGCGAGCAGGCAGCCGGCGAACACGCGAAATCCCTGCAGAAGGGCGTGGGGCGGATCTCATGTGCTTGGCGAGAGACAGGTGGGTGGGTGGGTGAAGGGGGCGGGGGAGGGGGAGGGGAAGAGGGAGAGGGGAAGGGGACGTGGGAGGGAGAGGAAGAGGGAGAGGGAGAGGGAGAGGGAGAGGGAGAGGGAAAGGGTGAAGGGGATGGAGAGGGAGGGAGGAGAGGGAGAGGGTGAGTGGGAGATAGGAAGAGGGGGAGAGAAAAGGGGAGGAAGAGGGAGAAGGAGAGGGAGAGGACGAGGAAGAAAGGGAGAAGGAGAGAGATAAGGAGAGGGAGAGATATAAAGAGAGAGGTAGGGAGAAGAAGAAGAAGTAGGGATAGGAGAAAAGGAGGTGGATGAGGGAGAGTAAGGGGAGAAGAAGAAAGAGGAATAAGAGAAAAAAAGAGATAGGAGAGAAAGGAGGGAAGGAAAGGGGAGAGCGAAAGAGAGAGAGACAGGAAAAGTGGAAGAAAAGAAAAGAAAGAAAAGAGTAGAGGAGACTTGAGAGAAAAGGAGGAAAAGAATGGCAGGGAGAAAGGACAAGAAGAAAACAATAAAAAATGAAGGAGAGAGAAAGTGGAGAAAGAAAAGAAAGTAAAGAGGAAGAGAAAAGGAGAAGATAGAAAAAACATAAACATCCGAACTAACAGAAGAAAAGCGAAAGACAAAGAACAAGGAAAATATACGAGAAATAAAAACAGAAATAAAAACAGACAGAAGAGAAAAGAAAAAGACCAAGAAAAAACTGGGAAATAGTAACATAGATAAAGAAAAAGTAAAAAAATAATAATAATAATAGAAAAAAAAAATGACTAAGAAAAAAGAACAAGAAATGGAAATGGAAAAAGAACAAGAAAAAGAACAAAAAACAAAAGAGAATAAGAAAAAGAACAAGAAAAGGAAAAGGAAAAAGAAAAAGAAGAAAAAAAAAACAAGAAATCGAAAAAGAGAAAAAGAACAAGAAAAAAACTAAAAAATCTAATTAGAAAAAGAAATAAGAATAAGAAGAACAAAAAAAGAACAAGAAAAGGAAATAGAAATAGCAAAAGAAAAGTAAAAAGAAAATGAACAAGAGAAAAACAAGAAAAAGAACAAGAAGACCAAGAAAAGAAGAAGAAATGGATCAAGAAAATTAACAAGAAAAGAAGGAAGAAAAAGAAAAAGAAGAACAAGGAACAGGAAAGAAAAAAAACGAAACAATAAAAAGAGAGGAGAATAGAAGAACAACAAGAAGAAAACGAAAATGAAAAAGAAAAACAAGAACAAGAAAAGAAAACAAGAGAAAGAACAAGAGAGAAGAAGAAGAAAAGGAACACCAAGAAAAACAAGAAAAACAAGACGAAAAAGAAAAACAACAAACAAGAAAAACAACAAACAAGAATAACAAGACGAACAAGAAGAACAAGACGAACAAGAATAACAAGACGAACAAGAATACCAACAAGAAGAACAAGAACAGAGAACAGCAAAGAAATCTTCCTGGCCTTCGGAAAGTCCAGATTAAATATCGTAATAGAAAACCTGTTTATCTCAGACTAATCTATCAAGGTGAAATAATCTACATGCCTTTATGGTCCAAAATAGACGTCCCCCTACAACAACTTCTTAAAAAAAAAGAAAAAAAAGGAATAAAAAAAAGTGTACGAGAGACTTTTTTGATAAATGACCACTGCTGTAAGTCATTTAGATCTGACTTGTTGTTGTTGTTGTTGTTGTTGTTGTTGTTGGTGGTGGTGGTGGTTGCGGTTGTGGAGGGGAGGTGGTAGGGTTGGTATATATATGTATTATGTTTGTTTGCAGGTTTGATATCTATCTATGTATATACACACAATTTTATCTTATCTATCTATCTACTTGCCTGTATATCTGTCTATGTATGTATGTATGTACGTATGTATATCAACGCATTTTCCCCTTTCTTTCTTCTTACCTTTTCTTCTCTCCGCCTCCAACCGCCTACATCAACTTTAAATTTAAATTGCAATTAGAAGATAAGTATCAATACCTCTCGTTAATCAATGAAGAATAAAAAAGATGCAAGTGAGTCGAATCAAAAGCGAAAAAAAAAATCAGAATACTTACCAATTTATCAAGGTGCAGTGCAAGGTCGAGACCGAAGCCAGAGTCACACCCAGTGATCAGAACAGCGCGTCCTTTTGGGGATACCTAAAAAAAATACGAATAAATGAATAAACAGACAAAAAATAAATAAACGAAATAAATACCTATCCTTATTTCTAATTTTCTTTTAATCATCTACTGACATAATTACCTACTTTGCATAGATAATTAATGTTATGGATGTACATTAATCTAAATGCGTACATCTCGTAAATAATCAAATTTTTATCTTGCATACAGCA